AAAAAAAGAGAGAATTTCTATTTGAGAAATGTATTGATTTTAATTAATAATAACAATTTAAATTAATTAATTAAAAAATTGAATAGAAACTTGAAATATTTTATGATAAAATATCATCCATTAATAAAGTTATATAAATTTTTATTTAAAAAGTTATTAGCAGTACAAATAAAAATAAAATAATAAAAATGTAATGCAATTAATTAAAAAATAATGGATCTTAAAGTAGTAATTATAAAGGTGTGGGAATAAATAATTAATTATAAAGTTATATCAAATTATGTTTAAGTTTTGGTTTAACTAAATAATTATAAAATGATCATGAACAAAATATATAGATACCATAATAGAATTTCTAATTTGATGAGGAGCCCAATCAAATTCTATTATTTGAAATTGGATCAAATCATTTATCTTGTTTGAAATGATAATATGATTTGAAATAAATTAAATTGAAAAAAAAATCTTTGTCTTCGCTGCAAAGGAAAAGAAAACAAAAATTTTACACTTTTAATCTAAATTTATTAATTATAAATTAAAATATAACAAGGTTAAATATGATAATTTCTCTACAATTTTATGAAATCCTGCAAAATCTGACAATTTTTATTCCACATTTCATTTAAATAAAAATTGTAGGTTACATGGAACAACATCTGATTCCAATGGTGTTAAACCCGCTATATCATGACCTAAATGCCCGTAAAAGGGGTGTGGTTGTTGGGAAGAAGAGGGGTTCGATGATGAGGAAGGAAATGAATGTACCAAATCTGTGGGTCTCTGAAATGGGGGAATACAAGTTGTGGGCATACAACTCGAGGACATGTTTTGGCCTACATGATATGGGAAAGAAGGCATGTACGTTTCATTCTCATGTACTTGCTTTGGCGTAGTAGATATGTATATAGGCAATTCAGAAACATCTTCACCAGTAAAAAAAAAATTCAGGTCATCGTCATCAGTTATCTCCATTACACAAACTTTAGTTTTAAAATGATATACGCGTCTAATTATAATATCGAACTGAGGGGGGTTTATATTACTCAATCTATACACGTGACCTAGAAATTCTCTGTACGTGGTTGTACTATCCACTGTCAATCCTCTCATGAGATACCAAAGAATGAAATTCATTTTAAATCCGTCACAATTTTGAAATCTCTCCAAATCTACATAACATTAGTGTTTGATCTATACATCTTTCCTTTTATGTTTTAGATTTCAATTAATGAATGTTTGTGATGTGTTCCCACCTTAATATATAACTAGTCTTTCTATATTACATGGGATGACACTATAAATTAAGTAAAAATTTACCTGCCAAAGCGAACATAGTGGTAAATTGATATATATCTTCAACTACGACATTATAAGTTCGATCTCCACATATATAAAAAAAAACAAAAATTTACCTCTAATCAAAGCAATTCGACTCCTCAACCAGATAGACTATAGATTATCAATGTTAACGACTAATTAATTGATAATTAATTATTGATAAATTAAACAATAATTGATCAATCAATATTAGAAAAAAAGATACGCCTCGTGCCACAATAAGATGGATGATAAAGCAACTTTTTCTTCTTGCTTTTGGTCAAATTGGTTACTGTTCTTTATCCACGGAACAATGACAGGGTAATAAAAATACATCAAAAAGATGAAATGTAGTACCAACACGTGAAAATTGTTGTGAGATGGTTGTGGGCTACATCGAGCCACGTCATGTCCTTCCGATTCCCAACTATCATCTAAGAACAAGATTTCATTTGATGTCGATCATTTGAAATCTGTCCTAATTTCGAAATCTAAGATACCAAAAATAACATAATTCATTTGAAATCCGTTTGAAATTTTAAAATCACTCCAAATCTAAGGTACCAAACATAACATTATTCATTTGAAATCCGTTGAAATTTCAAAATCACTCCAAATCTAAGGTACCAAACATAACATTATTGTTGATATACAAGTAATTAATTACAGCTCAATCTACCTTAATTTTTTAAAACAATTAAATCAAATTCGCATTTGATGGTTAGTTTAATTTAAATTTCTTTTTTATTCTAAAAAATAAATTAAGAAAAATGAGAGAGAGGGTCGTTCTTTTAAAGTACAATGAATGATGGAAGATCTGAAATAGAAAAATAACTGATTACTTGATCAATTAAGTTTTAAGTTATTCACATGGACAAAGAAGAAAGTTATGGAAGAAAATTATCTAATCATCGGATCAAAGAAAGAGATATATACTCGACCAAAGGTAAGAAATTCGAGCCTCCACTCCTACGTATTATTATTATTATGTTGAACTCAAAATAAACCAAAGAAAAGAGAAAATTCATAAATAAGTTTAGGAAGATTTTTTTTAAAATGTTGTTAAGTGGAAGCTTGGGATGAACATCCATTAAATATTTTTTGTTTTTAAAATTTCAAAATCAACTTTGATTAATATAAATATCTGCTGCTGGATTGAAAAAGCTAGAGAGGGGTTTTTTTTATAATTTAAAAAATTATTATAGAAGATATTAGATAAATTCTTACTCTATCTAATATAACACTTAGAATTCAAATTTCAATAGGCAATCGCTGAATTCAAATTTCAATAGGCAATTGCGTATCATAATTCAATTAGTTAATGTAGAAAAGAGGAGTTTTAAAATAAGTTTGGAAAATAAATTAAAAGATTTTAATAAATAAAATTTCTTTTAAAATAAAAATAATTTTTTTTAGATAAATAAAAAATAAGTTTTAGAAATTTTTTGTTATAAATTAAATAATGTTTTTTAAATGCAACATAAATAAAAAGTTGACTTTCATAAAACAATTTTGTTTCAAAATAAAGCTTTTTAAACCTCTCCCCAAAGCCAATTTACCATAGTACCCTCATGTTTAAAAATCATGGGAATCCTAAACCCCATCTCGGACGTTTCCTGGCCCAACGAAAATTTTCACCCTTTCTCGAACGTTTCATTTGTCCTAAAACCCTAAAACCCATCTCGAACGTTATCTCGGACAAAGGACGTTGGACGATTCATCCATCCCGGACCTTACGAAGTTATCTCGGACGTTTCTCTTCCATTGTTTCGCACTACGAAGTCATCGATCGCAAGGTTAGTGGCGGGTAGATTATAACAAAATTTTTAGAAACGTTTGTTGTTCTGATTTCATTATCGGCGCTATCTGAAGCAGCCATGTAGATCTAGGGTCATTTTCATGTTGTGCTTGCAG